CCATAATTATGTCCCCACTGGATGCAACAAATGCCTCGTTTATAATGGGTTTTCATGTTTTTGAATCATCGCTCCGGCCTGACAGGGCATCATCACAATGTGGTGAGGGGCGTAACATTTCAGTCACACGCTTGAGGTATTCGGCCAATCACAACGCACTGGATAGCTGGCCAATCACAGCACCCCTCTTCTTTTCAGAACGATGAGCTTTGTAAAAATTGACGCGTTTCAGAAAGGCGGGGCATAGAGGAGAAACAATAATGTACAGTATGTGTAAAATAATGTGTTTTTTGAACCTTAAACCGCATAAACACATTTAATTACACCAAATACACAAAATAATGTTCTTTTTAGCAGCATCATATGACCCCTTTAATACAAATGTACAAAAGCGTGTCCTTAAAGCGCGTCTGTAGGCTGCCTCGGGGACCAGTAGCTCTAAAAGAGGCCGACAGAATCAATGGCAAAAACAAGATAAGCGAGATGTTTATTTGACGAGCCTTAATCATTGATGCCCCTGCTGTGCTAGATGTCCTATCAGTGAGGTCCAGCAGCTCTACGGGAACACGCCACTTTTATTCTCCTCACCTTCATTGAGCCTTTAGAGTTCAATGATGTTAAATCAATAACTGTTGTCAGATGCACAAACTGGTGCTTGGTTTTCAATGGGAACAAAAAGACGGCTCAATTAGAGTGTTTGTACTAAAGATTTGTTAAAGAGTTTGTCCTTCCAGTTATACCAGCGTTCCTTTAAGGCATGTCATTGCACTTGGCAGCCATCTCGGTAGCGCCCTTGGGTGTCTATTTTCTATGTCATCAATAGGCAAGTACATCTCCTGTCTACTTAAATGGAAAAAGACAGAAGTAGCCAAAAGTGTAGATCAAGATCACATTTGAACAATATGTCAAATCAAAAATGAAATCAGACAACAAGGGTATCATATAATAAATAAAACATTAAAACAACAATTTATTTAGCTCATTACGCTTTTTAATACCTTTGTTCCTACATAAAGTGTTACTACGTTCTAATTTATTGTTTTAAAAGTAGTGTTCAACTGATCTCCCGGGCCAATATATCGGCTAATATTTGGGATTTTTAAATTATTGGCATCTGCAAAAAAGTTTTTCTGTTTTGCTGATGTGCTGGAAGCGGACTTTTATTTTGACATCACTGAGATTGATCTCCCGGGCCGATATATCTGCCAATATTTGGGATATATATTTTTTTATATATTAGAAAATAAAAAATCTGTTTGGCCGATGTGTCGGAAGTGGACTTTTATTTTGACATCACTGAGATTGATCTCCCGGGCCGATATATCTGCTGATATATATATATATATATATATACAGGGTGCGATTTGCTGAGGGGGATGGGGGATTTCCCCCCCTCTGGTTTATGCATCCCTGCCTCTGCTAAATTATGTTTTATCCCCGGTGGGGATAAAAACATCCCGCGATCTCGCTTCGAGGTCCCGATCTTACTCAAATGATTCGCGATACGCGCTTTGAAGTCCCGAATCAAATGATTTGCGATCCGCAATCCGAATAGAGCACTTTGAAACAGTGAATTATTTTGTGACTCAATGGTTTAACTGATTCGGAGTTTCAAAAAACTCCGTTGATACTTTGTTCTTTGCTTGCTTTCTCTATATAATTTATTCGTTGCTTGAAAAACCGTGGAAATGAAATCATTACAATTAATAGGCCTAACTTACAATGTTTTTAATAGATTAATTGTGATCACGTTAAATACAGTTCCCGTCGTATTAAAAACATTTCATGACATGTCACCCATTATATGGTAGGCCTAGTTGCCTAAAAAGACGGGTTTATGATGTGCGTTATTAACAGATTACACTATATATGATGGCATATTGATACTTCACTAGCTGAGTAAACCACAAACAAGTTCAGGTCCAGGCATTTACACTGATGGCAATGGGTGCAGATAGCCCAGGTGAGTCTTGTCAAACTAAACAAGCTGCACCTGTACTGAGACGCAGCACATTTAATCCTGGTGTAATCCAAGCGGTGTCAGACCTCCGCAGCATGATCACTTTCTCCTGCCTGAATGTATTTGCTATACCATCCTATGGCCTTACAACCAAGCGTTCAGCTGCAGGGCAATGAAGCATGGGCGATCAATCCAGTCCCTGCCACGCGAGAGAGAAAGTGAGTCTGAGAGGGAAACGGGAGTGAGAAAATAGAGGAAGCAGTGGGTTGAATGCGCTCGGACTTGCGATCGGTCTGGTGGAGCGAAACACACCTTCACCCGAATCCTCCCCTCCGAATGCAGCCCCCAAAGACAGCGGAGGGGTGGGGGGGAAGCCCTCCCATCATACACA